CCTACATAGGGAATTCAGAGTGACTGACAAAACAGTACACACACAGTGTTTGGTAATAGCATAGATGAAGATGTCCCCCCTGTAAGAATTAATTCCTACCAACTCCCAGGTTGCATGAGGGTTGAGTCACAACCCACATCCTTTATGTTTGTAGAAATATCGGGAATTTGGCTCACAATGTCAAACACCAACTTTAACATGACTCAGCATTCACCAGAGCTAGGATTCTATAACTTAATGTACTAAGAAATTCATGTCTCAGCCTACATGTGGGCCATTCCAGTAGTCACATATCAGTGACAAAATACCGTAACTACAAGACCAAATGGCTATTCATTCTCATCATCTGAGCAACCATCACAAAATATCAAAAATATCATTTCCAAATTTTACATCAGCTTCCATATTCCTGTCAGAGGCACTATCCCACTCCAAGACATGACCCACTTTTGTAAATTCAGAAAACTAGGCCTCAGAAACTGTTTCTCAAGATGTCTCCACATCTTTCTCACTTTGACTGCAATGCTTCCCTAGGCCCCATCACTTCATGGAAACTGTCCCCATCCCTTTCATCTTCTCCCTCCTCTAACCCTATTTTCTACATGCCATGCAACTCAACTGGAGTTCATTCTACTGTCCTAATGAGGTTTCATAGAGAGATCATGAATATGAATGTGTAAGAGAAAACAATATGGCCAGGACTCTTTTCATTTCTCCCTAAATTAGTTAGCAGGGGGTTATATAAGAGCAGGACAGCGGGCCCATCCTCACACAGATGCAAAGGAAATCCACTGATGTCTGTCAGCAGCCTGGCACACAGCTGAAAGAATGAGATTCACTGGGGCTGGCAGAAATAGACAGCAGGGTGAGAAAAGGTAGACAGGAATACAGAAAGGGCAGTTTCCATGGCAACATCAAGAACATCCTTGGTAAGGAGATGAAGGTCTCCCCCAGGGCCAGAATGGAAGACAGAGAGGCAGGCCAAGCTGTACAAACAGAATCATCTTACCTCAATTAATTAGAATTCCAGGTGCATGAAGAAAATAACTACCCAACCTTAAAAAGTCATTGTGGGGACACCCACCCTCATACCTCTGCATGAGGAGTTTAGAGATGGGCCTATGTAAACAGAAAGACTTTATTGAAAACATTTTGTGCTTTCTCTCTTAAAAGTCATTATTTGGCTGCAAATCCATTGCTTTCTTCTCTGGAGTTTCAAGTAACTACAAATGTGCATTGCATAATGACCCTCTGGCAGGCAGCAAATTCACATCTTTCATGGGAGGAAAATCAAGCGTTATGAAAACAGAACAACAGAATTTTTTTTCTAACCAGCACTTCCTTTATCAACATTGTGCCTGTATAAGGCAAAGCCAGCAGGCTGTCAAGGCAAACCTTTCATGTTTAGAAGCCATCATTCCATCAACAGAAAAAGGCTAGATAGAACACAGCTTCCCTGTCTTCTTCACCTGAGCTGGGGAAACCTACAGAGGTGGCACTGATTGATCTGTGTGCTGAGGACAGACTGAGGCTTCATTCTCGAAACCTAAGGGTCCTGGTTAGTTCCTGGATTCTTCACTACCCAGATGAAAGTGAAGGAAGGGTTGTCAGCAGGTTCTGTAGAGAAAGGGGCATCTCAGGAGAACTGTGCTGAAAAAACACATGCCAATGGCTGCTTATTTTCTGCATTCAGCTGCTGCCCTGGAACTGAGTATATCCGGTAACATCATTAAAGATCTCGTCTAACATCACAGCAAATGAATGGGACAGCAGCTTCGGGTGTCACCATCATTCCCCTTTTTAGTAGCACCATGGACCCCAAGCCACAAACTCACCCTATTTGCCCAGCCTCACAATGCCTCGAAGTCAGCAAGCATTGAAGACTGGCTACTGGAAAAAATGAAAGGTGGAGACAAAATCTACATGTTCTAAGTAGTCTAGTGCTAACGAAGCCAATGGTTGGTGAAGAGGCAACTGGTCAACCCTAGAAAGAGACTGAGGAGGGACCACAGAGCAAGCAAGGGCTCTGAGGGCCAAGCAGGGAAAACATGGAGTTCTCTGCTGATATTTTTCAAGGGTCTGGTTTTAAGATTCTCTGTGTTATTTCAAAATGCAATGCAGATTTCCCTTTGTTCTCCTTTTCAGATCATTTACCCTACAGAGTGAGTCCAAAGGAAAACAAAACAAAACAAGACAAAACAAAAACAAAAACTACAACTCCCCCCCCCCAACAACAACAACAACAATAATCACAGGAAGCAGTGATGCCACAGGCCAGTGGCTAAGAGATGAGTTTGCTGCCTTCTACTTGTCCCATCTCCTTTTCTATTTTTCTTTTCCTTTTGGATTTTGAGCCAGAGTCTTACACTATAACCTAGGCTGACCTTTAATCCTCAGTAATCCTCTACCTCACCCTTTCAAGTACTGGGGATTTAGATATGAGCCACCATATCTTTTTATCCCCTTCCCCATAGTTGCTAGTTCTTTCTAACCCTTCCTCTTCTCTGGAACTTTCTCCTGTCTTACTCCATTAGTGTTGTCACTGAAAAACACCCTAGACTAGGTGACTTTTTTTTAAAGAACAGAACTGTATTCTGCATAGGTTGACAGGCAGGAACACATGCAAGATCTTCATAGAACATGTCAGCCTCTCCACTTCCAAGATGGCAATTGGTCACTACAGACAGACCAGAAGGGACATAGGTCATGTCCTGAGAGAAAAGTAGAGGAGAAAAAGTCTACTTTCTCAGCCCATTGCTACAACAACAACAATCCACCTCCAAGGGAAGAGCCCTCATGACCTGAGCTCCTCACAGAAGGTCACTCCTTCCCCACGGTGCTGCATGAGCTCCCAGCACATGGGTCCAGAGAGCACTCTCAGCCCATGACACTCTCCTTCTCCCTGTGCTCATCCATGCTTCTCCCTGTCCCCATGCCACCCCATCAGTCTTGTCAGGATTACAACAGAGCTACAAAGATTCCTTATGTCAGTTGTAACACATATTTTTTTCATTTAAAATAATTTTTTATTATCAAGCTCTCTTAATGCTACCTGCAACCCTAGGAACCCCTGGAAATTTACTTTTTTTATATAAAGTATATCAGAATTTTATTGCTTGGAGAATACAGCATATGAAATCACAAGAACATCAAAATGAAAAGTCACTAGGCTTCAAACACAGAATACATTACCAGATGCAGTAAAATATTAATTAACCTGAAGTCTACATCAGAAAGGAAAAGGTATGGAAAAATACCTAAATTGTTTACTTGAGAAACAAGTTGTTAACACATATTAAAAGTCCCCCTTTATTACAAAAAGTCTCCCCCACCTCTCAAGATTTTAAGGTCATGGACATCAGTCAAAGAGCTGTGGAGGGACCTGCTTCCAGATAGACCTATCAGTGAGGCCTCCAAGCAGATGCAAAGAAAACAGAAACCACCACCACAGGAGACCAGATACAAATCTCCCTCCAGCCTAGCTAAGTCAGCCTCATAGACCCAGCATTCCATTTCACTTCCAAGACCGCTTACACTAGCTTCAAAATAGAGTCACTTCCATTTTCCATAGAAAACAAAGCTAAAAAGATAGAGGATAAAAACATTTCCAGTTGCCCTAGGGAATATAATTTTTCCACTATGAAATGGGAGGTTTTTTTTTTTCTTTTTTCTTTTTTTTTTCTCATCACAACACTGGGAAAGGAAATCCAAGGGCCAGTAATGGCATTGGGGCTCTCTCATGTGGTATCTATGGCTTAATATACTAGTAGTGTCCTACCACTTGAGGTAAAAATATAAGGAGTACATAGGTACTTTATCCATGACATAATATTTCAATTAAATATTAGACACCAAAAGTGCTGAAGGCATTTGATTACAGCTTAAGAGAAGAAAAACTTAAAGTGCATTAAAACTTTATAAACTATCTATGATTGACGTGTGCTTGAAAACTTACAAAGGATTAGTCATCATTTATACCAAGACAGGACTTGAGCAAAGCTGAAGAGGATTGCTCTTTGCAATAACATTTCAGAGAGGATTTAAACAAAAAGGCAGTAATTTACAAAAGGAACAAGATGTTCCAAAAAGAAAAAGAAAAAAAAAACCTTGTCTTACCTTTGACCCAACAAGAGTGTAAAGCCATTGGATGGTCTCACTGTGGTTAATGACTCCATTCATCCCATCCACATACAACATAATCTGCCCCAGTGCTGCAGACAGGGAAGAGAAACAAGGATATGTTATGGGTTTATATTGAAGTGCAGTCTTCAGTGATCAGGAGGTCAACTGAGATTTTCATCACATTAAGGGCACTGTCTGTTGGGAACCAACACTGAAGGCCAGTGTGAAGATCTGAAATTGGCTGAATCTTATTTCAGAACTAAAAGCAGCAGGGGCTATTCTGGGCATCTGGAGGGTATAACCAAGGCATTGAGCCGGTGATTGATGGGTGTATGCATCTTGATGTCTAAAACTCATGATTCTCCATTCTGATGTGTATGTTGTCCAAGACAGGACAAATCAGTACACACAAGATAGCATCTAGAACCAAAAGGGCACACAAAGTTGGCAAAAACAACCAGTGTCCCAGGTTTCAGTCAGCAGGTCCTATGTCTTGTAAAACCATCCTGTGAGGATGCTATTTTAATCCCTTAGAAAATTGACAACACTGCATTTAAGTGTTACCTTGAATTTTCTTAAATTCAAAGATGGCAAACATCAGACTGGAAAAAAAAAATCATCTTCTGGCTAAGCCTAGAGGTACAGATACGTGATCCCAGCTACCCTGGAAGCTGAGGCAGGGAAGTGCACAAGTTAAAGGTCAGGGTGTCCAACTTAGTGCAATTGTCTTGAAATTTTAAAAATTGCAGAGGGCTGAGGTTGTAGCTCACTCTTACTAGTGTTCACATAGTCCGTGAAAACTCCAAATAACCTGTCACACTCCCAATCTTAAATTCTTAGTGTAATATAATCACTCTATTGTCATTTTCCAAGAAGAAAGTATTGTTTTTAAACAGCTCCATTAACATCAAAATAATTTTGGCTGTAGACACTGCTCAGAGAGAGGGTGAATGTCCAAATTAAGCAGGCTTCCTGAACTCATGCCAACCATCCTAACCACCTTTCACCCATAAGTAGTTAACATAGCATCAATGGTCTTTTCAACTGCATTTTTAGCAGGACATTTCATTTTGAAAATTGGAAATTGAACAAAATGATCCTTCACTCCATAACTGAACGGTAATCACTTCAATGTTCTGACAGACTTTCTTTATACAAAGATTGAGTGCATGTAGGTTTTTCAGAAATAATGGAAGGGCACTGACTGCAAAAAGTACAACCCCAAACAGGAACAGTTCAGTGATCACAGTAGACAAGTGTGTGTGCGTGTGTGTGTGTGTGTGTGTGCGTGTGTGTGTGCGTGTATGTGCACGCGTGCGTGCGTGCGTGCGTGCGTGTGTGTGTGTGTGTGTGTGTGTGTGTGTGTGTGGGTG